TTTTCAAATCAAACTGGCAAAGATATTTTTGCAGTGCAGTGATCTTTGCAACACTGACGGCGTGCAGGGATCTTGGCAACACTGGCGGTGTGCAGTGATCTTTGCAACACTGAAGGCGTGCAGGGATCTTGGCAACACTGACGGCATGCAGGGATCTTGGCAACACTGAAGGCGTGCAGGGATCTTGGCAACACTGACGGCATGCAGGGATCTTGGCAACACTGACGGCGTGCAGGGATCTTGGCAACACTGGCGGCGTGCAGTGATCTTTGCAACACTGGCGGCGTGCAGGGATCTTGGCAACACTGACGGCGTGCAGGGATCTTGGCAACACTGACGGCATGCAGGGATCTTGGCAACACTGACGGCGTGCAGGGATCTTGGCAACACTGACGGCGTGCAGGGATCTTGGCAACACTGACGGCGTGCAGGGATCTTGGCAACACTGACGGCGTGCAGGGATCTTGGCAACACTGACGGCGTGCAGGGATCTTGGCAACACTGACGGCGTGCAGGGATCTTGGCAACACTGACGGCGTGCAGGGATCTTTGCAACACTGACGGCTCATACATACATTCATGCATACAAGTACATAGTGAATTTGCTGGATGAACTGCAATAATTCTTGCCAAAAAATTGCCATGAATTTTGACAACCATGTCAGGATAGGACTAATAAGTTCTTAAGTACTGGTGGAACTAATTGCACTACTTTCTTTTTGGTATATAATGTCCATCTGTTTTTGTCGAAACCATTGTTAAATTGTTGTAAACGTACTACCATTACTGCTGTTAAATTTCTGAATTGAAGACAATCCACTATATTCAACTTTGTAACTGTCGGCATCTTTTCTATCTAGCTTACATGCCTCTGGAATAATTGGTACATGTAATTATTCAACTCCTTTCGCATGAACAGCTTTTTTTCTGTTATGAGCTGTTTAATTTTGCTGAGTTAGCATATAATTTGGCAAAATAGAAGTGCTGCTTACATTCTGCGATAATAAAATGTGTTCCCAGGTGACCTGCTTGACCACTCACCACTACTGATAACCCACCTATGTATTGTTGCATGTTTTGATTGTCTTTTTCATAATGAGTTTTGATTATGCATGTGTTTAGGAAGGTGCACCCTCTATCGTTTACACTGCATGTCTTTGTTTGTTAGGTATTGATCATTACAGAGAGGGTTGATTACCAAGCAATTTTTCATTATATGCCCCGAGTGTCTGAAAATCTGTTATATGATTTGGGATACAGTGAATTTCTGGGTGCATTTGTTCACTTTCTCTCAAAATTAAAACATTGGTGTTTTGTCTGTAACACAAATTCTGTCTTGTATATTCTATTTCATGTGGTTTATTGATCAATATAAATTTTACAAAATAACTGTTAGCATAATATTCATTTTGTAACCTGCAGTGGAAACGAGCAGGTAACTATTAAAAAACAAACGAAACTCTTGTTTTGTTGTTGAGGGCAGTCTTCACATGCATCCAGGCAGTTCGTGTCCCATGTGTATCTCGATATAATAATTCCTTAAAAAACAGGAGGATGTTTTGATAAGCTTGGCAAAAAGCAAAGATGTAATTCAGAAAGAGAATTGTGATCTTGTTGATAATTGGTTACTGCCAATTAATTGTTTTGATTGTAATCCTCGTAGCATGCATCAAGTATTATCACCTCTTTGTTTTACTCTTCCAGCTGAGTATGAGGAGTCGCTTCTCGCAATCTGCACTTATCCAGGAATACCATGTGGAGGATTTAACTGCTGCGGCAACCGATATAACAAGCGACAATCACGACGATCATTTAACAGATACAAACAAGCTCGACGACACAGCAAATACCGATGAGGTAGATCTGTCTCAAGTACTTAACAATTAGTACACAACTGTGCAGCATGGAAGAAAATGCGTATATTGCACTCTGTAAAATCAATATTATTACACCCGCCAGTATAATTATTATAACCAAATTACTGTTCAATGTAGACCTTGTGTTTTCTATTTATTCCTCTTTTGAACAGAACTTAAATGTAGCATTTGTTACAAAAAATGGAACCAAGATGGCACAACAATGCAAAAATTTATTTATATCGTACCATTTGCCTTTCGATAATGTTGAGTGTTTTAATGTGAGATTTGTTGTCTGAGGAGAGAGTTAAATGTAAGGTACGCTATTAGTGGTTAGGTTATGATCATGTTTTCCTCTGCATGTATTATTTGGCTACAGGGTTACTATTATTTGTCGAGATAGTGATGTCACCGTACCGTAGTGGTAAATGCATGTGTGTAGCAGTGTAATAAGGAGGTATCAATAATTATGAAAATATATTCCTTCCATAGAATAGTTTCTTCAGTATACACTGTAAAACCAGTGTAAACCAAACACCCACAAAATTGGTCAGTTTACAGACTTTTTTGCTGCAGTGAAACCTAGCTAATCTGAATGCAGGAGCTAGGAAGTTCATGCAAAGTTTTTCATATAATCAGCCAAACAGGTTTTACTGTATCCACAAAATATTGTACCGGTATATATTCTTATGTATTTTGCATGTCATAATTTATTCTTTTATTCATTTCGAGTGTATGTATGTTAATTACAGTCCATTAAGAAGGGCATTTGGGGTCCATAATTAGTTGTCTATAAATGTGTGAAGTGTAAATATCCTTATTTAGTGTCGTTATATAGGAGAATTATGTATATACTAATTTAAGAGTGCATGTACTATAATATAGTGGGTTGTGGTTTGTTTGATGGAGGAAATCAAATTGTGGCATGTTAGGCTGAGAACTTACGAGTTGTTCATTATCAACAATGTTCACATGTACTTGTTGTACTATTCAAAATATAAATATATGAAAACGATTAATTTGAAGTATTTAAAAAAATTTGATCAGCTGTGATTGAAGGGAAGATGCAGAAAATTTAAGAATATATCAGGTTTATTCTAGGCAAAGAAA